AAATAGAAAGATTGAATGAGAAATAGAAAAGTGGGAATGTGAGGAGTTGTGGTGTTGGTGAATCAGAGAATGGCCTATTATTTATAGTATCAGGATTTGTGAGATTGGTATGAGATATAATGTTGGATTTGACACAAAGTTACTTTTTCATTTACTTTATGGAGCCACTCAATTTTTTTCCCCAAAGCAAATTATGGAACCACTAAAAATAACTTTATGGAACCACTAAATTTTTGTTCCCCAAAAATTGTGTAAATCTTACTATTTAATTGATTAGATGGAAAGCATTGATATGGCACACTTCCACATAAACATTATTACATTGCTTTATGGAGCTACGCACCAAGCCGTCAAACGCAACCCCATAAAATATCAGCAGCATGCCCATCCAGATCTAAAACTCGGCCCATGTCCAACAACAAGATCCGGCCCGATTGATGGTGTAGAAATGGCGGGAACACTATTCATAAGATCCTTCTACCATTGTATATAGGAGGATTTCCGAACAATATTGTGTTATGAACACATTAACCACATCTTATTGTACAAATGGTAAATTGAATATGAAAAGGACTAACATAATTGAATAGAAACAACTTTCATTAATTAGTTTACATTGTTACCGTACAAAATTGGTCAAAGTTACAACACACCACAACACAAAAGGTTGCTAGAATCAACACCCTTGGCACAAGTAGGCAAAGTTAAATCCAGCTACAATCAACACCCTTGGCACGCACATGCCTTACAAGTACAAAAAAAATAGGCCAACACAACATTTATACTACTACACATAGTATAATACCAAAATAAAAACCCTTAAAATCCAGAAATTTAACATTCTTTTTCTTTTCTTCTTTTTTGGCCAACTTCAAGGTCTCTCCATTGCATGACGCCACAAAATCGAGGTGTCTGAGAGGAATATAGCAACTGATTAAGGGACATACAAGTCGCAATCCTTAAATGGAAAATTAAGTTGTATGTACTCCGTAATTGTGACACCCGATGAATCTTATTCCTGAACTTTGCTTAGTCCAAGACGTCCTCTACACGGCAACACCACCACACTAACAACTTGGTTCCCCTCACATGCGATTAGAATGGAAAGAGGAAGAGGAAGACATTACAATTTACAAATGAATTACCCCTCTTTTAAGAATGAAATGTCAGGCCCTATTTGAGAATTACATTAAAAATTAGTGTTACATTTCAGATAAAATTTTAACAGTACAAATTACTTTAAAAACGCTAACAATAAACTTAACCAATAAATAACTTTTTCAAATGCAAATTACTGTGAAAACGCTAAAAATAAACATAGCCCATAAATAATTTTTTCAAAACACTAAATCTAATTTCTTACATTATTCCCAAACAACCTTAACTACTTCCAAAATATTTACAAAATCCCAGTATTTACCTGGTTCAATTACATCCTCTTTTGTCAAAATAATCAATTCCCTCGATCGGAATATCCTTTACAGTGAGATTGAGGTCCTCTTGGATACCAACAGCTTCAACAAAGCTCTCTTCATTAAGTATAGCCATCAAAATTTGACTCCAAAATCAAAATCGACTTGTGGGGTGCAATTGAAGAAGGTGAGGATGCGTTCAGATCGGGGCGGGATGGGGGGTTTACCAAGGGATTAGGGGGGATAGGAACCGTAAATTTTAAGAATGGGACACCGGAGCACCCCCAAGTCATCCCATGACAATAGTTCCCAATGTCATGGGAACCAAGGTGAACCATCAATAGCTATTAGATTATCCTCAGGTCCCGTTTGGTGCATGAAATTCAAATTATGGAATTCAAATTGAAGACTTCAATTCCAATTCTGGTGTTTGGTAACATAAAATTTATGTGAATTTGGAATTAATAGTGCAAAAAATGAATTGAAATTGACAAAATTCAATTCTATGGAATTAAATCCCATAAAATTCTAATTCTAATTCAATTCTAATTCTACCAATTCCTTGTACCAAACGGACCCTCAAAGGTTTTCCTTCTCAATTGATTTCTATTGAATTGCCAGAGTAAATAGCTCAACTTTGGAAGGAAGCCTTTCCAGTTGATTTTGGTGGTCCACCCCTCCTTCACATGGTTAAAGAGAGAAAACAGTTCATTATTTTATTTTTCTTTAAGTCTCCTAAAAACTTATTTACTTCATTAACATCCTTTCATATCCTATCTAATAAAATAAATAATGTCACTTATATTGATGTAAATTTTATATATGTGATCTTTAAATGGAATTCCAAATTATTTTTTATATAAAATAATTTAAAAATAACTTCAATAATATTTACTCCTATATATTACTCTCCCGTCCTAAAACATTCTTCTCAATTACCCCCTCCATCTACCAAAAATATTTACATTGCGCATTACAAGGACTTTATTTTCAATTCAATTCATTTGAATAAAATTTAAACACAAAATTTATATAATAAAAAATACATAAAAAATTCTACAAAAGTAAAAGTGACAATACAATTTTATTCTATGAAATGAGCGGTTAAAATAAAGAAACAAAATGAGTTAAATTTAACCTTGTGAATAATGTATGAAAGGATCTATGATGATCAGAGAGAGTACTATTCATATAGTCAACCTTGAAATCACATTTTACTTATTTTCATTAATTACTTAACAACATAATACTCCCTCCGTATTTTCATAGCCTATATGATAAAATAAAATATTCTTGTCACCACTTGTTTTGTTGAACTCTTGGTGTAGTTTTTAAATATGTATGTTTTATTTTTTATTTTTATACCAATATTTAAATAAAATAGATTAAAAAACTTGAATTTTTCTTCATTTTGCGAACCGGAAAGATTATTATAAGACAAACGAAGTATACTCTTTTCACCTATTGTTTTGTAATCAAATTAAGCCAAAGGGAGTATAAATCAACGGGTTAAGTAAAACTCGAGTTAAATGAAAAAAAATTATTATAATATTTTAATCTTAAATAAAACACAGTAAAAAATATAAAATTTGTTTTGAAGAGTTTAATTCAATGCCAAAGGCTTTTTACGCTAACATAAATCACACTAATAAAAAGAAACATGATGACCTATCAGTGTAACTATGACAAAAAAAGCATCATTGGATAAATCCATAGCCATGAATATTCATCATCATCTAGGATCTCATGTTTCCAAAACAAAACCGATACTCAGAAAAATCTGGAATATATAGTCATGATATTGGTGTTGTCATGGGGTATTAAAACCAAAACAAAATTTGTTAAAACCATTCTTGACCATTTAGATTATGGGCAACAGGGAAAAGAGGAGATCCAAACAGAGTACATCGCCTCGGCAAAGTTGCCATTTAAACACAAAAGCAAAATAAAAATACACTTTATACATTTCTTATTTTCAGGAAAAAAGATTCAAAAAAAGAGCATAAAAATATTGAAATTGTTTGCCTCAGAGGTAGTGACAATTAGTAAGAGTCAACATGATGAATCTGATAATACGTGCGTTATGCAATGCATCATTGACAAACTTTGGCGACAGGCAACAAATTCAACATTTTTCTTTAAATTTTTAAAAAACAAATTCCATCAATAAAAAATGCATTCCAAACTCATATTTAAAGAAAAAATTCAAGCAATTACCAAGAAAAACTGCCAACAAAAGCTTAAACGAGGAAAAGTTGTAACTGGACAAGCTTGAAAGTAAAAATCTTCTAATTAAATTCATAATCTAAGATCTAAAAAATCTTGAAGAAAAGTAAACAAAATGTATAAAAAGAAAACAAGCAGATTCAGGAAAAGAATGCATCAGAGAGATTCCCAACGACAAATCATCATTCTCAAAGATCTGATGTCCCTGTCTGTGTGTCATCACATGCACCAAATACAATTCCAAGTAAATTATTAAAAGATTAGAAATCCAGTAATAGACTAAATATATAACTTTCAAACAAGTGTAAGGAAAATTGAATTAATGTGTAAACTCTGCCAATAGCCTCAGATTTAGGTTATTTACATTGAAAATTCAAAGTATATTTAATGCCATCACAGGCAAAAGGGGCAGAACTAAGTTGAACAAGATGATAAACAGAGATGACTAAAAGTTGAACAACGATCAGAAACCGAAAGAATATTCGGCGGACCTGACCTAACTGCGGATTTGAGAGAGATTCATGGCGATTTTGGAAAAGAGGCTTTTTTTTCTAATGAATTTGCAGAGAACAAACAATCGAAAATTAAAAAGGAAGAGAGGCAGAGGCGGGACTGATCTGGGATGATGACAGTGTGTGGGACGACGAACTAGGGTTTATGATATGAAGATCAATGGGATGCTTGTGCGATTATATACACAGATGAGGGACGGATTCTAGAGGGTTCGAAGCTTCAGAGGCGAGAGCGTTTTCTTTAAACTATCCCCTATACTTTGCACTAATGCTAAAATTGCCTTAGAAATTTCAACTTTTCTTTTTAAGAGCATGATTTTAGAGTGAGGAATGCTATGAGTATATTAAATGGTGTACCCCATTTGTACACCATGCATCTTCACCTAGAGGTGGACTCACTTTGAGTCTTATGTAGGGGTGTAAACGAATCGAATCGAAGCGAATACTGACATATTTGAATTTGTATTTGTTTAATTTTTTCGAATACGAATCTGAATCCGAACATAAGATGAATTCAAAATAAGATTTGAATATGTATTTGATTAATATTCGAATAGTTAACGAATCCTAAACGAATATTTGAATGATCATACTCTGTAATTTATACGATCGACTAACATCGATTTGTAATTTAACTTACGATACCCCTTATACTATACTATACTCCGTATCTAAAAACGTGAATACATTTGCATCTTACACAAATTATATTTTATAAAATATAACTATTAAAAATTATATTCTTTAGATTTTCAGGTTACGTTAATTTGTCGAATTCTTAGTAATATAAATCCACTTTATATTATATTAGTTTGCTTGACTATTGATGTTGAAAACATGGTCTGTATATATATACATATATTCGAATATACGAATATCATCCTAATCGAATATATCCCTAGTTGTATTTGAATTTGTTTAATATTCAAATCAAAAATAATATTTGAATTCGAATTTGTATTTGAATAATGCGAATTCGAATCATTATATTCGAATGCGAATGACGAATCGAATTTAAAGTATTTGATTTGTTTACATCCCTAGTCCTATGGGGTCTCGGGACCCCACGGACCCCGGTGTGATCCATATAGGTATTAGGTTTGTAAAAATATTAATATATAATAAACGCGTAACTCCTAGTTAACAGAATTGCGTTTGGTGTATAGTGGAAGCGTGCGAAGCATTGAAACCCAAATAGTAAAACACGTAGATACTAAAACGCGTATCTTCTCTCCTACACCCCTATTTTCTCTGCAAAATTGACTTCTCTTCCCCAATTCTTTATTTTGAATTTTTTATTTTGAACCCTAACTTTTGCAATTCTCCGTCTCTCTTTCCCGTCGCCCACCGGCCTCAGTTTGCCGTTCCACCGAAATTCGACCACACTCCATAGCGGCAGCCCCGACAGGTAATTAGTCTAAAAAACTTTTCTTTATTTTACTAAAATTAATTTTTGTGGTAGTTTGAAGTTTGATATATAATTAGTAATATATAAATATATAATAATTTATAAATTTATTTTTTATTCATTACTTATTCATTAAAGAATCAAAGTTTTTTCTTCAATAAAAAATTGATTTAGGATTGCAAGTGATAAGTATTATTGTATTAATGCTCATTTTATGTCTAATTTATGTAATTAATATTAATTTTTTATTTACAAAATTTAAAATGCAAAGGTACTTCAAAAAGCTACCCAAATTCAAAGATTCAGAGTCGAGTGGAATTGGTAACAGCGTTAATGCTCCGGTGTCTCGAGTACAATTGTAAACGATAGTATTTTTGTATGACTTTGTTTCTATGTATTAATTATGGAACTTTTCAAATATTAGTTTTAGTTTATTGTTAAATGTTAAGACTTGTGAAGTAGTTTGAGATGAGAATAGGAGGTAGAGGACCCCATGGTTGTAAAATCTTGGATCCGCCTCTGTCTTCACCCTCCATTTCTTTTTTTATTTTTAATTTTTTTGCTATCTTGTTTTTGTATGGTGGGGATGGAGTGGGGTACAAATGGTGTACACCATTTGGTGTACCCATAGCATTTTTGTTTTAGACTACCTCATCCCAAAAGTTACGGCTCGTTTGATGAACGAAAAAAATACTATGATTTCTGATATTTTTTCCGGTGAGATTAGTCTCACACGTCATCCTATGTCATGGGTTGTGATTAGAGTACTTAGTCCTTCGTTTGAAAAATTGATAGTTCCGAATCTCCTATAACGGCTTGACTCGAACCGACCTCCCACCCCCTCCATTTGCACCTCACAAAATTTAGTTGACTTTGTATTTAAATTTTGACTCTAAAGTCCACTAAATTTTGTGAGGTGCAATTGCAGGGGGTGGGGAGTCGGTTTGGCTGGGTTGGGCCACGGTGGGTGGTTTACCAGGGAGTTGGGGTTAGAAACCATCAATTTTTTAGACAGAGTACCGCATATGCTTTGGGTCATCATATGACAATGAAATTCAATATTACTTTAACCGGGTGTATTTTCTAATATGAAACTCTCATGTAGGTGTTTGGTAAATTTAAATATAGTTTAGATTTGACATCTCTAGATATTAGTCTCTTCATCTTTTTTAATCTTCCAATTGACTTTTTATGATATTCATTTAACATGCATTTTGATTATAAATATTTTTATTTATCGATAGATATATTTTATTAAAGAAAAAATTCACAAGAAATTTGTGATTGTTTTGATAATACTTTGAAGTTAAATAATTTACGCCATTGCGTCCAAAAATTACTTAATCTGCCAACTAAGCTGAATATGTGACATTTTAAATGGTGATTAGAAAATTATTAAGTATGAGTTGGTACCTTGAATGTGTTATAATTACCCTCCTCCATGTCAATTTGAAAAAAAATGTTAAAATTAAAAAATAAAGTGTTTATATTTTAATCAGATAAATTATAAATAGTGTTTAGATTAAAAAACTTACAAAATCTTAAACTTCATATAATCCAGAATTTATACTATTAAGATCTTTAAAATTCTTTATTTTGTCCAAAATATTATTATTTTTATTTTATATACTTTGTAATTACCAACACACTTGATGGAAACCGCTTTTTCGGGGCGTCGACCCGATGAAATCGGTACCGGGTCGGCACCGCACCGAATAGCGAAATCTGGAAATTAAATAAATAAATAAACGAAGAGAAAGTATTTATACGTGGAAACCCAAATCGGGAGAAAACCACGGGCCTTTTTAGGCGGTGCCATGCCAAAGGGGGAAGAACTTTTATTAATCTCGGGGCAATTTACATATACATCACTGTAGGAGCTTGGAGAAGAAGAATGAAGAATAATAGTAGAACTAGTAGGAAATTGGCCTTCCCCCTCCCTCCTTTGTAACCTGCATTTAAAGGGGAGAAGGATATAATTGATGGAGACAAGAGGGGACATTGTCCATGTGAAGCCCATGTGCGGCATGTGGTTTTCATGTGATAGTGTTCCACGGGTCCCGCCAAATGTCTCCACATCACTTCAAATATATTCTTCTGTCCATATATCTCTGTATTTGTCTTGAATAATTTATCTGATTTATATCTTGGGCCAGATAAAATTGGGCTTTCTTGTACTGTTCAAATAATATTGGATTAGGAAAAATCCCTAATCCATCACATGCCCCCTAGTTTTGAGTCTATCTCGGGGAACGAGACAGATTCAAAACTATATGACTCAGTGGGTTGCCTCATGGGATAAAACTTTTTCTGGTACCTCGGAAAGAGGACTTTCTTTTTAGGAGGGTCTCATTGCCTCACGGGTAAGGATTTGACTTAGTGTCTCTCGAAAGAGGATTTTTCTGAGGGATTTATTCTTCTTGGAAGAAGGACTTTTTTCAAGGATTTGTTCCTCTTGGAAGAGGACTTTTCTTGGGGATTTGTGCCTCTTGGAAGAGGACTTTTTTCAAGGATTTGTGCCTCTTGGAAGAGGACTTTTTCTCGGGGATTTGTGCCTTTTGGAAGAGGACTTTCTCAGGGCTTTGTGCCTCTTTGGAAGAGGACTTTCTCGGGGGTTTGTGCCTCTTGGGAAGAGGACTTTCTCAGGGCTTTGTGCCTCTTTGGAAGAGGACTTTCTCGGGGCTTTGTGCGTCTTTGGAAGATGACTTTCTCGGGACTTTGTGCCTCTTTGGAAGAGGACTTTTCGGGGCTTTGTGCCTCTTTGGAAGAGTAGTTTCTCGGGACTTTGTGCCTTTTGGAAGAGGGCTTTCTCGGGGCTTTGTGCCTCTTTGGAAGAGGACTTTTCGGGGCTTTGTGCCTCTTTGGAAGAGGACTTTCTCGGGGCTTTGTGCCTCTTTGGAAGAGGACTTTCTCGAGACTTTGTGCCTCTAGAAAGAGGACTTTTCTTTCTTTTTAGTTCCTCGGGAAGAGGACTCGGTGCCTCTTGGAGAGGACGTCTCTCGGGGATTTGGGCTTCTTAGAAGAGGACTTTTTTGGGACTTGGTGCCTCTTTGGAAGAGGACTTGGTGCCTCGGGGAAGAGAACTTTTCTCAGAGCTCGGTACCTCTTGGGAGAAGACTTCTCTCGGGGATTCGTTGCCTCTGGGAAGAGGACTTTGCTCGGGGCTCTTTTTTCAATATTCTTTGGGAGCCTCTAAACCCCCACCCGATATCTATCTGACGGTGGTTGGGCGCTCCGCTCTTATTGAATTATAGACAATCTCCGTCCACCTTTCTCTTCGTCCCTATCCCTCCAATTGAGGGGGGCCTACTCTAATCTCTTTATAGGATTCCTTCCTTTTGGGTAGCTTGTTCTTAATGGACTGGGCTTCAACCCATCCTTAAGCCCCAATCCTTTTCCTTATCCTATCTTTCCTCAACCTCGGTACGGGAGTCTATGACTATCTCCAGTAACTCGATCACTTAACTTGATCTAATTACCGACCTCTGCTTTCTATTCTTTTACATTATTACTTTTATCAACTTATACAACTCGGAACGGACCACCTGAGGCTTGATCCCTCCATTTGAGGGACCCATGAAGTTGGAGCGGTCCACTAGAGGCCAAATCCATCCATCTGAGGGACCCATGAAGATGGAGCGGTCCACTAGAGGCCAAATCCGTCCATGTGAAGGACCTA